CCTCCGTCCTCCCCCCGCGCCCCCTCCGCCTCCATCTAGGCCCCGGCGCTTTGCAGGCACCCGGCCACAGATGGAACCCATTACGCCCCAGCGCCTCTCGGGACGCCCCGCTAATAAGTGACCCTCTGTAACGTTAGGAATGAGTCAAGTTCGCGCCATGCTGCTGCCTTCCCGTTAGCGGGTGGCGCCGCCGATGCCCGGGGGAGCGCGGGGCGGGGGCTGCCGAGCAGGCGGAGGGCGGGGCGGGCCCTTCCCGGCCTGGGGGGTGAGCGGGGCCTGCCTGTCGCTGCTCCGGGAGGAGCCTGGGGTGCCTCTTGCCATCCCGCTGGGCCTCCGTTTTCCCGCGGGCAAAGTACGGGGTTTAGGGCAGAATGGCTGAGCCCCTTCCACCCTCTCCTGGTTGGTGGCCTTGGCACCTGGGTCCCAGCGGGCCCAGGAGAAGGAGCAGGGACGTCCCTCCCCCCACACTGGGCAGCGGCTCCCAAGGGGGCCCATTCCCCTCCCCAAGAAGAGGCAATGGGGGAACATGCAGTGAAGGCGCCCCCCAAGACCTCCCAGGGGACTAAGACGCAGCCCCTGGAACACGGTTGTCAGGAGGACGGCGACTCGGACCTGGGCTCACACTTGCCGGGCGTCTGCTGAGGGGCTGGGAACAGGGCCTTTGGGCGCCATGCTCGGCCTGGGTCTGCAGTGGCTCTCCAACCCCGGAGGGGGGGATCAAGATCTTTGGGGTGCAGATGGAGGAGGAGGCCCGTGTCCAGTGAGGGTCCGGAACAGCCTGGCAGCGGGCACCCGGTGCTGGAGGCCTGGAGGGTCTCAGGGAGGGCCAAGAGGAGACGGGAGTCAGGAGGCCGCCAGGTGGTTTCCCGCCGGGACCAGGGCAGGAGGAAGACCCAGGAGGCACAGGGTGGCAGAGCCGCCCTGCAGAGCCCAGGAAGAGGGGTCCTCCATGCCCAGCTCCCATGCCAGCACGGAGGACTCGGGCAGACTCTGGGTGCCATGCTGCAGAGCCCTGGAGAGTGGACATCCCCTCCCAGCAGCCCCTGCCAAGCATCCGGTCACCCTCTACTAGTTAATTTGCTGCCTGAAATGCAGATATCCTTAGGGCGGCAGGCCAGGGCGCAGCTGTGACCTTCCGTGTCCCCTCAGAGTGCTGCCCGGGCCTCTGCTGGCTTGGCACCGGCGGCTTCCGTGTTCACAGGGCCTGCGCGTCCTGCACACAGTCAGTCTTCTGTTCCACCTGGCAGGGAGCTCCTGCCCCAGGGCCTAGGCCCTCCCCCGGCTGTGCCCTTGTCCGGTAAAATGCCATTAGAACCCAAGACCCAGAAAACCAGGCTGGGGTCCCCAGGACACCTAGGCACTCCTGGGGCAGAAGGGCAGCCACTCGGCAAACGCCTCCCTGCTCATCCTCGGAGCCCCAAGCGCACAGCCCCCAGCCTGCCCACCCTCCAGACGGATCGGGTTGTGGAGGGGCAGTGGGCAGCTGAGCTGAGAAGGTTGGTTCAACCTCTGCCCTCTGACCCGTCCTGAGCGCCTCCTCCATGCTGGGGTCTGTGACTGCTGGGTGGGGTCTAGGTCTCTCCTCTGGCCCCACCGTGCAAACAAGCTGTGAGATCACCTGCTCCAGGTGGGCGAGGATGCTGGGTTTCTTGTGGAGCAGAGGCAAAGCCATCCCCAGAGGACCAGCGACCACTTAGCCACCACTCAGCCCAGCCCCCATCGCCACCGCTCAGCCCAGCCCCCACCAAGATGGGGCCGAGCCCCAAGCACAGAACCTGCTGACCTCGGTTGGGTGTGGTCCTCCTTTCCAGAACCTGGGGACAGGCACAGCCCCTCTCCACGGGCTGAGGACCAAGGCATGCGCCCGAGTGACCTGCCCAGCCTCACCCTGTCCTCTCCATGACACTTCGATACCTTGGGGTGGCCCTGTGGTGGCCCCACTCACTCAGTGGGATTGTAAGGGGTTGCCTGGCAGCTGCTGGGGGCTGCCAGCTCCAGGTGTCTCCGGGGTGTCTTTCAGAGACTGGAGGACACCGTCCTGAGCCCCATGGCCAGCAGGGAAGACCGGGTGCTGACGGTGCGTGGAGACGGCCGGAGGGCCTCGCCCACCCCTGTGCCCGCCCGCATCCGGGAGATCGTGGCCGGCAGCCTGGCTGAGGAGCCACCCCAAGGTGAGAGTGTGGGGGACCGTCCTGGGCCCGGGGCTGGCCCCATCCCCCGCAGGGGCATCACATCGATACCCACAGGGTGCTCAGCAGGGCCTGAGCCAGGGCGGCCTCTGTGTGGCACACTGTGGCCACCTAGGCTTGGATTCACTGGTGTTGGTTTCTTCCTCAGAGTGGGAATGCTAGACATGGGCACTCAGGGGGCACAGATACCCACCACCCTCCCCAGCTCTGCCCATCATTGGCACTCAAGGGGGCACAGACACCCACCCTCCGCAGCTCTGCCCGTCATTGGCACTCACGGGGGCACAGATGCCCACCCCTCAGAGCTCTGCCCATCATTGACACTTGGGGGCACAGGTACCCACCCCCCAGCTCTGCCCATCATTGGCACTCAGGGGGCACAGATGCCCACCCCAAGCTCTGCCCAGCCTGCACCCTCCTCAGGTCCCTGTGCTGCCTCCAGCTATCCACCTGGCTGCTGAGGAACCAGCTCCAGGCTGCCCATCCTGTGTGCCCAGGACTCCCTTGGGCATGGGTCCCAGGGACCCCTCTCCCCCCGGGTCTGTCCAGCCTCCTGCAGGCCCAGGGAACTGGCCGTGTGTGTAGTAAGGAAGGACGCCCCACTATGTATTTACTGAAGGCCCTGATTACTTGGGGACCAGGTCCCCTCCCCCAGAAGCAGCAGGACGGGTGGCTTCCTGGACAGGGCAAGTGCCGGTGTCCCAGCCGCCCACGCACTCTGCTGCCACTGGTTTGGGGCTCGGCCTGGGCCTGGGTCTGCACTGGGGTTCCAGGTGCTCAGAGGTGGCAGGATTTCACTTCGCATGAGAGGACGTGGGGCTCCGAGTGTGAATTCTGCCTCCCTATGCCAGGGTCCCGGGTCAGAGCTGGAGATGGGGTAGGCCAGCAGGTGGAACCCAGCGGCCAGCCCAGGGTCCCACCGTGGGGACAGGGCACAGGGCGGAGTGCGGGTGGACCCTGGGCCGGCCACCCGCGCTGACCCAGGTGCCGTCAGCAGGGGTGCAGGAGCCGACAGCCACTGTGGCCTGGGTGCAAGAGGAGAACCAGCTCCTGCAGGAGGAGCTGACCCGGCTGGGGGACCTGCTGGCCCAGGCTGGCGCTGAGCGGGATGAGCTGGCCAGCAGGTGCCACGTGGTCAGCAAGCAGGTGAGTGTCTGCAGCAGACTCCGGGCAGGTGGGTGGGGACAGCCCAGCCCTTGGTGAAGGGTCCTTGTTGGGACTGCCAGGATTTCTAAGACTGGGAAAGACAGAACGTCAGCCAAAGCACATCTCAATCCTGGGCAACAGACAGGGAAACTGAGGCAACAGACGGGCGAGCTGAGGCCAAGCAGGACGTGCCCAGGCCTCTCCCTGAGGCCCAGCGTGTCCCCTAGGTCAGGTCTCATGACCCAGCTTAGGCCCTGACTTGTCCCCGCACCTGCCCAGGAGCACTGCGGGGTGGCCTGTCCAGTCCTGACCCTCAGGGCCCAGTGCCTCGCCCAACACTGGCCCAAAGCCGGGACCTGCACAGCAGAGGAAAGCAGGCGCCGACCCCACCTCAGACGGAGCTCGAGGAGAAACGGCTCCGCCTAGGCCACTGGCCCTTTCCTGAACACTGAGGCCAGGGGGCCACTGGGACCTCAGAGGACAGGGAAGGGGCCAGAGGCAGGGCTGTATCTGTCGTCCCCTGATGGCTGTGATGCGTTCCAGGGTGACCCGTGAGGTGCGCGAGAGGCATATTTAGTCAGGAAATGTGGAGCTGGGAGGGCCACACTGTAGACAGGGAAACCAAGGCAGAAAGGTGAAGAAACCCGCTAGCCTGGGGCCTCTCTCATCTCCCCTGAGCCACTCAAGGCATGCTGGCTTGTGAGGCCGGACCAGGCAAGCAGCCGGTGCGTGGAATGGGGTGTCCAGACCACCTTGTGGGGACTCAGGGCCCCCGCCGCACCCATGCCATCTTCAGAGCCCCCCAGGTTCTGCATGGCAGGTCAGATGACCCCACTTTCCCAATAAGGAAGTCGAGGCAAAGAGCCAGCCAGTGACCACCCAGGCCACAACGCCATTGCTGGGGTGGAGATTGGAACCCCCGAGCCAGGTCTGGCCCCTTCTCAGTCACATGACTACTGGCCAGTACTGAATGCCGGAGGGGTCCGCGGTGGGCCTCGCCTTCTGGAAGGTCCTTCCCAGGACGGGCGGCAGCACCAGCCCCACAGGAGCGCCATCTGTTCTCCTAGTGCCCCGCTCTCCACTCCCTGCCCTGTTCTGTCACGTCCTGACCCCCACTCGGAAACACGTTCCACTGTCGGCGGCACCCCGGGGGCCCCTGAGGGCAGGACCGCCTGATGGGGGCCTCAGCACATCTGGGAGCTGCCAGCCAGCCCACTTTCCCTGGGAGCCCCTACAGCTGTGGGGAGGCCTGGGGGAGGCGTCTTCCTAGCACGGGGTGGGGAGATGTTGGGAAGACGCCGGTGGGAATCGAAGCCGCGGAAATCCTGCCGACCGATTAGTAAGCTGCGTGAGTCAGATCGGAACTCGCCAGCAGCCCAGTGCGCGCCAGCTCCTGGCGGCTCAGCAGGCCAAGTGTGGGTGCCAGGAGGCTGGGTCTCCTCCAAGCCACCCCCAAGACAGGCGGGAAGGGGTCTCGGTGGACCGAGTGCCTGGCCGTGGCATCCCCATCCTAAGGTGGCAGTCCCAGACCCCCTCAGCTCCACCGCAGTCTTCTGATGCCGCCTTCTCTTCCGGCTGGTGGCTGAGGAGGGTCCCCTAGGCTCTCCCGTGCATTCAGCCAGGGTGCAGCCACAGCTGAGGCCCCAGGCCTGCTGCCCTCCCCTTCGCCCCTCCACCTGGGCCTTCCCTGGCCCTTGGTTTCCTGGGCCCGGGTTCAGTCTTGGCCTCAGCCGTGGCAGAGTGGCCTGGACAGCCGGTCCGTGTCCTGGTGGGTGTGGCCCTGCCCCTGTAGGTGAGGTGCTGGACTCAGGCAGGAGGCCCAGGGGAGGACACCCAGGCTCACTCACTTTCCAGCGGGTGGCCCCAGAGGTGGCCCTGTGACTTTCCATCCTGTGCTGTGTGGGGGAACCCAGCCCTGAAGCCCCTCCCCCTGCCCTGAGTAGCTGGGCCAGTGGGGCCTCAGTTTACCCATCTGTAAGTGAAATGTGGCCATTCTCCAGCAGCTCCCACAGCCGTACCCCACTTGGCCACCATGCTCACACCATCCTCAAAGCCTGGTGGAATTGGCACATCACTGCAGGGCCCCTGCCCCTTCCCTCCCCTGCCAGCTGTGAGCACTTGGGGCAGGGTATGGAGGCCACCTGTCAGGTTCATTGTGTGGAGGGGCCTGGGCCTCACCAGACCCAGCCCCGGGGACCCCTGTGTTCTGCTCCAGGGAGCCCCCTCTCCCACTCCCCCAGGGAGCCCCTTTTCCCGCCCCCGGGGAGCCTTATCTCCCACCCCTGGGGAGCCCTGGGGTCGGCTTTGTGCCCAAGATGCCCAGCCCCTGCCTGGCGGGCTCTCCCTCCTCCTCAGCTGCAGGCCCGGCTGGAGACCACGGAGGCTCGGCTGCGGAGGTCGGAGATGGTGCACAGCAGGGATCTGGAGGAGGCCCTTGGCCGCCTGGAGGCCGCCGAGCAGAGGTGAGGCCGGGTGGGGGCAGTCAGGGCTGTGGGAGCACAGCCTTCCCCCTGACGGGCAGTGGGCCCCTCTGCCTTGGGGGGTACTGGCAGCTCTCCCTGAAGCATCTGTGAGTTCCGTTTCCACGTGGGAGTTATCCGGGCCTCACAGGCAGGGCAGGGGCCTGGAGAAGGAGTGACTGGGAGTGGGGACCGGCCTGCGGCTGGTGGGGGGCCTGCGGTGCACTCCCTCTCGTGGTGGGGAGGGCCTGGGCTGAGTGGAAACGCAGTGAGACGCCGGGCCCCCCGGGCTCACCATGGGCCTCCGACGAGACCAGGCACCACATCGCAGCCTCCAAGCGTGGCTCAGCTCGGCAACACCCATCACTAACATACATGCACCGCATCGCCCTCAGACCCGCCCTCCACGTGCCAGGAGCAGGGCCCCCCATGGGGAGCCTCCTCTCCACGCCCCGCCGTCCTCCTTGCCACGGGTCAGCCTGGCTCACGAATGGCAGGGAGGGAGCGGCAGAGACACAGCTTGTGGCCCGTCAGCCAGTGCTGACATCAGGACGTGGTGACAGACCCCGGCCCCAGCCGCACCTGGGTCCAGCGCCCACCCGACCCCCTCGCTGCCCACTCTCACACCCTGAAATGGCGCTGACCACGACACACCTGGGTTTACTGAGGGGGCCTCCGCCCGGCCCCAACCTCCCCCCACAGGTTGGAAGCCTGCGGGTGGCTCACCCTCCTGGGGGGTCCCTGCCCTGTTCTCCAAGTTGCCCTTCCCAGGCCCGACACTGGCTGAGGCTGCTGCTTCCCCATTGCTGCAGGTGGGTGGGCTCTCCACGGTCCCCCAGCAGCCCAGCCAGCACCCGGCTCCTCAGCTATGTCTCGCTTGGCAAGATGCCCCTGTTGCCTTCCAGCCTCTGATTTCACAGTCAGGGGCTCCTGTGTTCACTGCTGGTAAGCAAGTGTCACACCTAGCCCCTAACAGCAAGCCCCGCACACTAGCCCAGCCCCCCAAACTAGCCCAGCCCCCACACTGCCCCACCCCGCACACTAGCCCAGC